TAAGGTTCCAGACCCAAACATCCTGAAGTACCTACATCCATCTCCATAGCACTGTCTCCTTCTACCCCAGCTTTCTTTTCCAAATCTACTCTTATATAACATGTAATAGAATCCATAAACATTTATTTCGGATAGATTACTTGCGTAATTTGTGATGGAAAAGAATCCAACACACACTAAATAAATCCACCGACGAATTACTTTTACTAATCAAGTTGTCAACATGCAGTTACAAGCAAACATCCTTGATCCTTGAACAACATCATACAATTTAACTTTTCTAAGTCATTTGTATGATTTTTGTGTTGTGAGGTTGTTAGTTTGGACTTTGGAAGACTTGATTGATGATTTTAGTTCCAACTTTAAATGTTTATTTTCATTGTCTTTGATTCTAGTTAGAATGCTTATGTTATGATTGTGTTGGAGATGTTAAAATTTAAAATTTCAATGTTTTTCATTTTTTTGAAAGAAACAAAAACAAAAAACCGAAACCGAACCGGAAAAAACAGAACCGAAACCGAAACCGAACTGGAAAAAATCGAACCAAAAAAAACCGAAAAAAAATGAACCGAGCCGAAGCGAACAAAAATTTTGGTTTGGTTTCGGTTTTGGCAAAAAACCGAACCGATTTGAACCAAACCCATCCCTAATGTAAGTGAAAATATCATCGATGGTAATCTCATTTCAATTCCATAAACTCATCTAAACTAGTATACTAGACCAAGAACTTCAAGTCTCGGGAGTAATCCGGATTAATCTCATGAGATGGAAATGATTTGAGACAGCGATCAAGTATAGATTCATTGTTGTGTCGTGACCTTCCTCTTCTTGGGAAGGGAATCCTATGAACCGAGTGATCTGTCATGCTCCAGGCTAAGACAAAATTGATTGGCTATCTGTCGATGTACCAGATCATCCAACAGGGGTATCCAAACCGTCCAACAGGGGCAGAACACGTTTTAGGGATGTTAACTCGACATCTGTTAAGTACATATATCCTTGCAGACATGTTTGCAGCTGGTATATGATCTCGTCACTTTAGCTAGATTAGATGAATGTGTCTAGAGCAACATTCTAAAAGCTTGAATTCATCGTACTTGCTTATCATACTTGTACGGTATGGGGATCGAGATAAGACATAGTGGGCAATGTCCACGCAAATTCGCACTGTTCTATAGGAATGTTGACGTTCTTATCTCCCCTTAATGGCGAGAAGACTATCTCATTGAAGTGACAATCCGCAAATGAGCGGTAAAGAGATCGCATGCAAGAGCTCCAAGAGAGCTAGTGTGAAGGAGAATCATAATCGACAAAGATTCACATTTTTCTTTAAAGACCCATATTGGTACGTTGCGGCAGTGCAACTTGGCACATGGAATACACATCCAAAACGCGTAAATACGAAGCATCAGGTTCGTACCTAGTAACCAATTGTAACGTCAAATAGGTTGGGTGGCAATGTGCCTCAAGGCGGACTAACATACCTACATACAAGATTGCATAGCCCTAGGTAGAAACCGAAAACTTGGTACGTTCACCAAGGTCTGGGTAATCATTTAAATTGCGCTTTACGATCACTATGCGAGACTGTTTTAGGGTGAACATGGGAATTCGATGTTCAATTATAAACCCAAAAGACATGCAATACTTATTGAAAACCGTTGATATAAACTCTTAAGCATTATCTAGTCTTCCAGACTTTATGGGATAAGTAGGGTGTTGAACCCTTAAAATTGGCCAGGAGGTTTAGCGGCAATGTGTGTGGACAAACATATGACCAGTTTGTCGATTCATCAACCAAAACCATAAGTATTTATATGGTTTGCATTTTGGTTGGATTAGTCCACATATATCCCCTTGAATCCACTATGAAAAGAGGGTCGTTTCGTATCTTTGCGAGGGATGATTTAGAAAATCAATTTTCCTAATGAGCAGGCTTGGCAAAGTGTGCTTGTAGGCACAAGATCCATAATCGGGTAAGGAGATGCGTCGTGGCATCATTGTTTGACCTAAGTATTCCAAAAGGTCGTGCCAAAGCAAGTAATTGCTCGAATCACCCGGCTCCAGGCTGGCCACATGTGGCGTGTTCCCAATTAAGAAATAGCTCATTGGCCCCAAAGCAAAGCTTCAGGCTCATTTTTTGGAGGTGGTGCAAAGATATTTGACTCTATATTCTTCAGTGGTTTCATTGATGAACATTGTCATCTCAAATATCCTTTAAAACTCAACGACGTTCTTCTGGAATTAGGAGAATATAAGGTCATTTTAATGGTAATGTAGTACCATTTATACAACGAGGAGCGTGCCAATGCTCTTAATCAGGTTAGATAGACCTAAAGTCGTTGCTAGAGATGTGATTTAGGTGTAAAGTTAGTGTGCGTAGTGTCGCATTCATCCAAACAACTAACTTTCCCACATTCATACCTAATCACGTGTTTAATTGAACTTGGTCACATGTATACAAGAAACATGATTCAATTAACTCATATTTGGGGACAATATCAATAAGTTTATCCATAACGAAAAACAAACACCAAACTTGAATCCAAGAACATGGAAAAATGTTCACAAAGTAAACCAAAGTTACTAAGGGGATTCGGCAAACAAGGTCATTCATGTCAAAATTTTGCTCTTCCAATGGTGTTTGGTGGAGCAAAATCAATCTCACATATTGACTACGAGAATGGTACTCCTCAACGACATTGGTAGGGGCACAAACAAGTGCATAACCAATGATGTATTCTATCTAGACGGAAGTAGATTTTGTAGGGTTGAGGTTCGGGAACAATATCCCTAATTCTTGAAGTTTTAGGTCTTAGGTGCCAAGGATCATGCTTCGGGCATGATGCCACACCTTGGCAGTCCCTGATTCTACCATATGTTGTAAAAACAAACTCGAAATTGGATTGTGAGAAACATACCCAAAATTGGCTTCGGTAGGCTCCAACCGAAGCTGGAGGGGTCTATTCGGTAAGCCTCTGTAGAAGCAAAGCAGTATCGTTCGGTGCACCTCTGTCGAAGCAGAGCATGCCCTTCGGTGCATCCCTGTCGAAGCAGGGCACCACCATTTGGTAGGCTATGACCAAACTAGGTTGAGCCATTCGGTAGATTCCAACCGAAGTAAGTCTATACCTTTGGGCTCCATTATACGATTGCCTAGTAGCCCAACTTGATTGCAAGTCAATGGGCCAAGGAAGGAGGGCAAAGCCCAACAACGATAGGCTTATTGGCTTTGGGCAGTGGCGTGAAAGGAAGCCCATCTTTCGCTGGCTTCTAGTTGACGCAATACAAGCCTAGCAAGCAAAGGCTTGCTGGCTAATTTGGGCAAAGTGCGCGGACAAGCCCAGCATGGACTGGTGCGAGCTGGACCATGAGAAAGCCTAGCAAACAAATGCTGGTATGCTGTTTTATAGGGTTGCGGGCCTAACAACTTTCAAAACCCCAGGCCGTGGCTCAGCCAAATATTTCCTAAGAATTTTAAATTTTTTTTCGAAATTTATAGGGTTGGAAAAATTCTAATTGCTTCTAATTTCTTTTGACTCACATATTCCACATAGCAAAAATTGCGTAATGCATGAATGTATATATATTGACAAATATATGAAACATATACAATATATATCGGAAGGTAAATATAAATGTAGAGGGTTCATGCATCATGGGAATGTTTTCATACTTCATGGTCATTTCAAATATCTTAATTTATTTAAAAAAAACTTGATTGGCAGAAAACAACTGAGCATTTGAATTAGTAGAAGATCATTCTCTGAAAGTCGGAATTGTATCTCCAATACATTGTATCACGTTCAACAAAGAAAAATTAAATTGAATTAATAATATGTAGATCAATTCAATAAAATAATAAATTAATCATAAAAAGAATGATTAAAATGTAATACTATCCTGATTAAAGATCAAATTCTCTTTAGCGTAGCGTCAAGAGCGTGTTGATAACGTATTGTAGACATAATTTACTGAACAATTATGGAGGCCATAAAGAAAGAGGGGCTGCGGCACATATAGAAAAAAGAGATGTGTAATTGTGAGGTGTGTTATCTCACCCCATTGTGCCTTATTTATAGTAGTAAGAAATGTTAATTCCTTACCCTAATAGGATTACAACTCTAACACTATGTTTGGATAAAGGAAATAAAATTAGAAATTGGATAAAAGTCAGAATTTATAAATTGACATGTATCAATTCCCTTGTTTGGATTCATAAACATAGAAATTTAAAATTTCTACATGGAAAAAGAACTTGGAATTTAGGATCTCCAATTCCCAAGTTTAAATTTCATGTAAATAGATGTCATTTCCCAATTTCTATAATTGAGAGTTTAAAAATAACAAATTCCGAATTCAATTTCATTGTTCTTTTAGGTTAACTAAACAAGAAAATTCATAAATTATAGAAAATAAAATAATGTCATTTCAATTTCCATTATTTTAAAATTCCTCAGTAATCTTAAATCTTTTCATCCAAATATAGTGTTAGAATTTCCAAGTAACAAAAAAAAAAACTTGGAATTTAGGGCCTCCAATTCCTAAGTTTAAATTCCATGTAAATAGGTGTCATTTTCCAATTTCTATGATTGAGACTTTAAAATTAACAAGTTCCATTCTCAATTTCATTGTTCTTTTAGGTTAACTAAACAAGAAAATTCACAAATTATAGAAAATAAAATCCCGTCATTTCAATTTCTGTCATTTTAAAATTCCTTAGTAATTTTAAATTTCTTTATCCAAACATAATGTAATTGGATAATATCTAACCCTAAAGAATATTCCAAAATATCCCTTGATACACTAGGATCACAACTTTAATAGAATAACCCTAAAGAATATTTCAAGATATCTCTAAATATATTGTAATTTACACAATCACATCTTTAATCTAATAGGACTGCAACAATATATCATTTTTTTCTATTTCCCATTATTTTTTTTTACCGCGTTTCTATCTTTCTCGCCTAAACAAAGCAGCACCAACGGCCCATTTGATTCCTCAACCCAACCACCCGCTACTCTCACTAGGGTTTTAGACTTTTAGTTTTTCATCGTACTGTTCCGGACTTTGGAGGTTTTGCCACTCGAAGCCCTCCAGTTGCTGCGGAGGCTCTTCTCTCTTATTTGATCCGAATCGTCGAGAGCCATTCTTCTCCTTTCCTTCTCCACCCGATACTCTCCGAGTTTTGTTGCCGATCGAAGGCAGAGCATAAACAGCACTAACAATGGCGGGCCTCGTTCCTCCTCCTCCAACCGCGGCTGATACGATTCCGAAGCCGAAAGAGGATGAGAAAGTGGATTACTTGAATCTTCCTTGCCCTATTCCGTATGAGGAGATCCACCGTGAAGCTCTCAGTCAGTCTCTCTCTCTGTTCCCCCCTTTTTTGTTTCATTTTTCTCTCTCTAGTTTACACTGATTTGTTCTTTAATTTGAAAAGTATGTGGATTTGTGTTTATTCTTGTTAGGATTTAAACATCTGCTTTTATGGTCTTTTATTTTACATGCAATTGATGAAAGTTTTATTGTGAAATAATATGTTATATAACTTATATTTGAATTATGAATTCTCGGAGAAATAAAAATGTATTAGGTCTTGTAACTATCATTTTTGTGTCTCATGTTACACAGCCCGATTTTAGAAATCGAATGGAATGGGTTTTTATTTTTGGGTTTACTTGGACAATAAAGAAGTGCTCCAATGTTGGGTCTAAGAAGAGATTATTTGTATGTGTATGCAGTGTCTTTAAAGCCTGAACTGTTTGAAGGGATGCGCTTCGATTTTACTAAAGGACTCAATCAGAGATTCTCACTCAGTCACAGGTCTGATCGGACTTCCAATTCATTCCCATCATCATTCTATTTAATCCTTATTATTTAGACACTGATCTGAATCATAACGCTCCTATGCCATCAGCGTGTTCATGGGACCTACGGAGATTCCTTCACAATCTCCTGAAACTATTAAAATTCCCACTGCTCACTATGAGTTTGGTGCCAACTTTATAGATCCAAAGGTAACTAACCGTCTTATGATATTAGTCATCTGGGATACTTTTCTATGACAAGCTGAATTTAAATTCTCATTTAAATATTTGGTGTCATGCAGTTGATGCTTTTTGGGAGAATGATGACTGATGGAAGGCTTAATGCAAGAATAAAGTGTGATTTATCTGAGAATCTTACTTTGAAGGCCAATTCTCAGGTGATTTGAAAGACTGTTGAAGAACTTTATCTCTTTTTTTATTTTCAGAGTTTGTGCAGATAATCTGTAATGTCTAAGCTTGTTTGTTAACTTCTCTGTGCTTTTTTCCAGCTTACCAACGAGCCTCACATGTCACATGGCATGGTCAATTTTGATTACAAGGTAAGACATTGACTTTGGAATATCTTTCAGTTACTTTTATTTTTATATAATGGTGTTCCAACCAGGAAGAGGTTAAACTTCTCGCTGAAACAAATTACATGCATTGCAGTCATTGTGAAAGAACTTTTATATAGCTATTTTAACTTTTAAGTACCTGTTTGGGACAACATTTTGAGCAATGTAGAAGTTTTGCTGCAGTAAAGGTGCTTTTTTGTGTTTCCATATTTTGCTGCACTCAAAAGAAAACTTCCTGTTGGGTCATGCAAAAGCTAAAAACTGCTTGTGATAGAAAATGAGACAGTTGTATTAAATCTAGCTAAGAACTTTTTGTGGAGAACCATTAAGTTGTAGGCTTTATAGCTGAGAAGCATCTTATGGTGGAAGCAGTTACCCTCTTTAATAACTTTTTGTGCAGAACCATTAAGTTCCCTGTAATTTTAATTTAATTTCATCACTCCCTTTTACTTTTGACAATAATCAGTAATATGGATGGCTACTTGGTTGGTTTCAAAAATTGTTGCTTGATGGTTATTGGGTCAAATCAGTTTTTATTTTCTTGCTGTCTGGTAGTTGGTAGTGTGGATAGTATGAGAGTTTGGGAAGAATTTGGGTGGATGAATTTACTTTAAGAAGCTTGTCTTCTTGGTTAATTTTATTGTTGTCCAGGTAGGCAGGTACCATAATGGAACCATTTAGCCTTCATTTGACATATCTATTCTGGTGAATTGGGATTTTGGTTTTAGACTTTTAGGAGGTACTTAATGAGGTGGAGGAATTATCTTCTTTCCTGGTTATTTTGGATAAGGGTAGGTTTCGGATGCTAGAGTAGAATCAAGAAGATTGAATCTGGATCTTCAGCTTCCTACTTGTATGTCTTATTTGGAACTTAGTTTCACTATGACACAATTCTAGAATTTCTACCAGCAGGAAGGGGAAGCTTCTTTCATGGATTTTGCTCCTGGTAGGGTTAACATGTGCAATTTAATTCAAAGACAAGCAAATTGATGTATTTCAATTTTCACCTCATTGGTGCATTTTGTATAAGCAGGGTGAGGAGTGCTGATGATATACATGTTCTCTGTCCAGTATCTCGAATATTGCAGAATATATTCAGGGAGGTCAGTGAGTCAGGTGGTTACAGCAGGTTTTTATCCGCTGTTAAGTGATAAGGCTTAAAGCCCTTTGAGATTTTTTTTGTGCTGGTAAGTGAAGGAGGTTCTAGGAGTATATAGGGGTTTGTGAATGACCAACAGTCTGGCAGATCCATATAGGGGCCCGAGTGGTCCCGGGACCCTTCGGAAGCCTGAAGAAACACTTATGATCGACCTTCAGGACCCTTCAACAATTTGGGCAAGTGCAGTGGAGAGGCTTGTTGCCTCCATGGATGTGCAGGCAGCAGTGCTTATAAACAAAGAAGAAGAGGTTTTTAATTTTTATTTTAAAAGACCTAGCCAAAACGACAGCGTTTTTAAGCTAGGTCATTATAAAAAATTAAAAAAAAACTAAAATATCTCTGTTTTATCTATAGAGCCCGAAAACCCCAGTCTTTTCAAGTATCCCCAAATTATATTTAACAACTCCCAGCCCCAATCGTCGCAACCTTCCAACTTTAAACCCAAGTTATTAGGGAGAATGACAAGTCATCTAAGTCTGCTACTGTTAATAATTCTGTTACTGTACATTAACTGATTGTATTAGTTGTGATTAGTTAAGATAGTTATAAAGTAGTTAGGGGTATCTATGTAAATAGCCAAAGGCTATATATATTCCTACACTATGTGTAAAGTTCTCAGTCAAGTAAATACAATCAAGAAAACTTACTGTTGAAGTTTTCTGTTTCTATATGGTATCATGCCATTCCGCTTCACAGCTTCGATCTTTCTCTTCGCTTGCTGCATCGATCGACTCTTGATTGATTTTTCTTCTCTGATCGTCACTTCTTCCCTTCCGATCTTGTAGTATTTCTTGATTTCTGTCAGTAATGGCGGCTCAATCGACTGGTCATCTTCTCCGGTCATCTCCCCCTCGAGCCCAAACCCTAATTTCTCTGGAAACCCTAATTCCTCTGGAAATCCGAGTCCTCTGACTTCCTACACTTCTCTCACAATTCATAACATTGGCAGCATGGTGCCGATCAAGCTCAAAAGATCCAATTACCTACCATGGCGTGCCCTGTTTGGCCTGATTTTCCGGCGATACAAGCTTCTTGGAGTAATCGATGGTACTGACGTCTGTCCATCTCCATTTCTGCCTGATCGTAGCATCAATCCTGCTTTTGAGGTATAGTCTTCAACCTTACTTTCATAGCAAATTGGATCCCAAGAGCAAAAAGTGTGTTTTCTTGGGGTATAGTCTTCAACACAAAGGATATAGGTGCCTTGATCCTATCACCAATCGCATCTACATCTCTCGTCATGTTGTATTCGATGAAAGTACTTATCCATTTCAGTTGTCCCACAATCAACACTCTTTTCCTGTTCCAAGTCCTCCATCTTCCTCACCAACAATTTCATCCTCTCTGGATCTTCATTTTAGCAAACACATTCCTCCTGTTTTCAGTCAGCCATCTACATCACCATTATGTGCTTCTGTGCCTGTTCCTATTTCTTCATCTTCATCCTCCCCTGCACCTGTCTCAGTTGGCTCTTCTTCCAGTTTTGTTCCTCCTTCAACACATTCATCTTTCTCCCAAAATCAACAGAGTCATCCTCCTGCCCCTGTTAATTCTTATCCAATGATTACTAGATCCAAGGCTGGTATACTCACGTCGAGAGCCTGTGCAGCAACTAAGCACCCACTTCCAGTTGATATGGATTATGTTCCTACAACATACTTGCAAGCTTCTAAGCATGCTCATTGGAGGCAAGCTATGCAAGATGAATTTAATGCCTTGCTAACCACTGGTACTTGGTCTCTTGTTCCTTCTCACCATTCTCAAAACTTAGTGGGCTGCAAGTGGGTTTTCCGGATTAAGAAGAAGCCCGATGGCACTGTTGACAGATATAAAGCCCGGCTTGTGGCCAAGGGTTTTCATCAACAAGAAGGTATTGACTTTCAAGAAACCTTCAGTCCAGTTGCCAAACCGGTTACAATTCGGATCCTTCTTACCCTTGCTGTGCAATATAATTGGTTTCTCAATCAATTGGACATTAGTAATGCCTTTCTTTATGGAGACTTAAAGGAGGATGTCTACATGCAACAACCCCCTGGTTTTGTTGATCCCTTACACCCTACATCTGTGTGTAAGTTGAGGAAATCGTTGTATGGCCTCAAACAAGCTCCTCAAGCTTGGTTTGATAAACTGTTCCAAGCTCTTCACTCTCTTGGATTCACCCAATCATCCTCAGATGCTTCTTTATTTGTTCTCAATGGTCCTCAGTTAGTCATTGTCCTTGTCTATGTTGATGACATTCTTGTCACCGGACCCTATCCTCACCTCTGTCAACACTTCATTCAGCAACTTGGGGCTCAATTTCCAGTAAAAGACCTTGGTCCTCTTCATTATTTCTTGGGATTAGAAGTACATCGATCTTCACAGGGTATATTTCTCCATCAAACAAAGTACTTATTGGATCTTCTCAAGAAAACAAATATGGAGGGTGCAAAACCTTGTTGCACTCCCCTTGGCTCTAAGAAATTAGATCACAGTGGCCCTCTTCTGTCCAATCCTACTGAATATCGCTCCATTGTTGGTGGTTTACAAAATCTTACTTGGACTAGACCCGACCTTGCTTTTGCTGTGAACCAAATCTGCCAATTCATGCATGCTCCCAGGGAACACAACATCTCCAGGCAGCAAAAAGGGTTCTCAGATTTCTCAAAGGCTCTATCTCACACATGGTGTGTGGTTCACTAAAGGTCCTGTGTCCATCTTTCTCGGATGCCTACTTTCTGGCCTGCCTCGGATGCCGATTGGGCTGGTTGCACAATTGACAGGAGATCAACCACTGGTTATTGTGTATTTTTGGGTTCCAATCTTATCAGCTGGAGTGCCAAGAAACAAAGTACTGTTGCAAGGTCCTCTACAGAGGCTGAATATCGCTCCTTAGCTCACACAGCTGCTGAGATAACTTGGGTTTGCAAGATTCTCAAAGATCTGCACTATCCTCTCTCTACATTCCCTACTCTTTGGTGTGACAACATATCAGCAATATCTTTAGCATCTAATCCTGTCTTTCATGCTCGAACAAAGCATGTTGAGATCGATTATCACTATATTAGAGAATTGGTTTTGGCTCAACTTCTCAAAGTCAAGTTCATCTGCAGTGAAGACCAATTAGTTGATCTTCACACCAAGTCTCTGTCTAAAACCAGATTTAATTATCTGTGTTCCAAGCTTCCCATTGGCCTCATTTCTGATCCCCCTTTCTCGCTTGAGGGGGTGTATTAGGGAGAATGACAAGTCATCTAAGTCTGCTACTGTTAATAATTTTGTTACTGTACATTAACTGATTGTATTAGTTGTGATTAGTTAAGATAGTTATAAAGTAGTTAGGGGTATCTATGTAAATAGCCAAAGGCTATATATATTCCTACACTATGTGTAAAGTTCTCAGTCAAGTAAATACAATCAAGAAAACTTACTGTTGAAGTTTTCCGTTTCTATACAAGTTACCCTATTCCCCACCACCATTTGCCGTTCCACTGCCCTTTAGCTCCCTAATTTTATTTCTTCCAAATTCATATAAGTTTTTTAATCCTAGACTCTAGTCCCAACTCCCAATTAATAATATATATGTTACATTAACAAATTTTATCTTTGTAGTCACTAATTGCGTTATGTTGTTGAGGAGAATTTGTTGGTTTTATTATCTTTGAGATTAATCTTGATTTATTCAATGAACCAAAATTACCAAATTTTATAGAAATAGTGGTATGGAACCAAATTAGTCTAACATTTTTTTTGAACTTTTATGTTGGGACCCCCCGATCTTGAAATCCTGGATCCGTCATTGCCAACAGAGTTAGGTTTTGGGATTTGATTTGGTCATCTGTTTCAGTTGAATTTAGGGGGTGTTCTTTTCTACTCATCTTCTAGATTCGATGGTAGTTGTGCCTTAGATGCTTCTTATTCTAGTTTTATTTAAATTTTACAAGTTATATGTAGTAAAGACTTGGATCTAACGGAGGACATGACACAGAACCAAGCGCAATGGCGTTCTAGGATTCATATAGCCAACCCACTTAGTGGGAAAAGGCTTTGTTGTTGTTGTTGTATATGTAGTAAAGTAGGTCTGGTGTTTTGCTTTCAATTTGGACTTCTCCACAGTATTAAAAAATACCAGGATTTTAAGGATAGCTATTAGAATTTGATTGGATTGACCTTTGATCTGCTTTAGGGATTAAGCGCAAGGGCTTTAAGAAGAAATGATTTAGACTTCCTTTCCTCCTCCCATCTGTTTACTTTTCCTCATTTTTTCAACAACTGGAACTCAATACACATGGGGGCGACCAAATGATGTGGCACTTTCTATTTGAAAAGATTGTCCAATGTATATGGAGTTAATGCTCTTTTATTTGTTTTTAAATAACATGATTATTTATTAATTTTTGTTCTGTATTTTGAGCTAACCACTTTGGTATTAATTTTCTAATAATCTTTGTGTACTTATATTGCTTTACCCAACATTGACTTCCTCTGTACAGGGCAAAGATTACAGGTCACAGTTTCAACTAGGAAATGGTGCATTGTTTGGAGCAAACTACATTCAGGTAAAATATTGGATACCGTATTCTCTGTTTAACCTTTTCATTAGTTTATGACCGCATTAATCAGCACAAAATGGATTCTACAAGTTTCCTTTACGTGAGAGGGTTCATTATTTGCTTCCCTTCTACGCTTCTGTATCTTCGAATTTCTGGATAACTTATTTTCTTGTCATGTGTTAATTGGCGAAGATGCTATAGTTTAAATATGTGATAGGGTTTTTTTTTTTTGTTTTGTTTCATGTAATGCTTTTTTCAGTTGGTGACTGAGCTGTTCTGTAATTGTTTATGGGCTTGCTATCGGTGGATGCCTTTTCCATGGTTTCTGTAATCTTTTTCATTTCTCTAAATTTCTGTGTTCTTTTCTTTCAGATACAAGAGTTTATGTTTTCTCTTAATGAAGAAAAGAGTTATTTTGATTTTTTCATGTGTTGTGTATTTCACAACATTTTGGGAGAGCACTTAATACAAAGACAGAAATGTATAATCTGTATTAATTATACTAAACATAATTTAACTATATGATGACCATGTCTTTTTGCCAATTACTATTAACTGCTTGTTTTCTAGCATTTATTTTTCATTTCCTTCGTTTTCCCAGCTTTTATCATTTCTATGATTCTATTAAGATGTAGAAGCTGTTATTGGCACTCCATAAAGGTCATCCTGCTCTCCTCGCTTATAAATCCAAGGAAGAAATTGCACTTCAAGTGAAGGATGACTTCTAGTGTGCCAATAACTGTTTCCTAAGATTTTGTCAAAACTCTTTTAGCTTTTAAAGCACTTGGATTTTATTTGAGCATGAACCAAAGGTAAATGGAGCAATAAATGTAAGTGTATAAGATAATTACAGGAATGACTCAAAATTTATCATCTTACTATTAGTAGTGACATGTATTATGAGTTATACTTGGCATTTATTATGTATTCTCCATTGTTTTTCTCTGTAATTGATTGTTCCATTTTAATTCCTAGTGATAAGCATATTTTGTTGCCTTTATGTCAATGGCACACCTAGGGGATCATTGGGAAGTGCATTTAAAATGATCGAAAGAGTTTTTAGTGAAAATGTTTTTGGAACTAATCCTTTGTAAAAATGTAAGTGAATCTTGGAAGAGCACTTGAAGTGCATGCTTCTTCCACGAAGCGCTTCAAGTGCTTTTGGAATCCAAAAAACATTTTATTTAAAAGTGGTTTTAGTCATTTTAAAAGCACTTCCAAATGAGCCCTAGTTCTCTCTATTGATTTACCTAGCGCATTTTACCAATCTTCAAAGTGCTTATTACTTTTCAGAGCGTGACCCCCCATATGGCTTTGGGTGGTGAAGTGTTCTGGGCTGGTCAGCATCGTAAGTCTGGTATTGGCTATGCTGCTCGGTACAACACAGACAAGATGGTAAATTCTTGAAGCCTTATTATAACTTCCTGGTTATCCGACATAATGTTTTCATTGCTTCCGACTGTTGTTTACTCATTTATTCTTGTATGGAAACAAGATATTAGTTTGTTTTTTACATTCTATGGCACCAGAAAGGCATCAAGATTTGTGCATCTAGAATGTATCTAAAGTTAACTGTATGCTTGCTCACTCTTGTTTCTTTTTTCAAAAACCTTGTTTCATGCCACAATTTTAGGGTGAAGTAAGTCTTGGCCCATGATGTAGAGTTAAAACATCATGAACATTTATTGCAATGTTTCCTTATGAAATTAATTTTATGAAACTCTACCATTATAAGGGTTAGTTCAAAAATGATGTTGAAATAATTGGAAATAAAGGAAACTAATGATATGACAGAACAATTGGAAATGAAGGAATACTTTTATTTTTTTTTTTTTCAATAAACCAAATAATTGCATACTAATAATAGGATGGGGTTGCAGGCTCATTGTCTCTATTGTAGAGGTATGTGGCTAAGATCCTCCACATTAAACATTGGACTAATGCTACTACTTTCATGTAGTTCAAGCCAGCATTACGCCTTAGATCCACCATTTGAGTACTGCAGGGCCTTGCTTTCCTTCTTTTTTTGGTCTGAGGGTCCTGCTTTCCTTGAGTGAAATACAACAAAGCCTTTTTCCACTAAGTGGGGTCGGCTATATGAATCCTAGAATGTCATTGCGCTCGGTTCTGTGTCATGTCCTCCGTTAGATCCAAGTACTCTTAAGTCTTTTCTTAGTCTCTTCCAAAGTTTTCCTAGGTTTTCCTCTTCCCCTTTGGCCATGGACCTTTGTTCCGTAGTCGCATCTTCTAACTGAAGCGTCGGTAGATCTTCTTTGCACATGTCTAAACCACCGTAACTGATTTTCTCTCATCTTTCCTTCAATTTCGGCTACTCCTACTTTACCTAGGATATCCTCATTCCTAATCTTATCATTTCTCGTGTGCCCACACATCCAACGAAACATCCTCATCTCCGCTACACCCATTTTATGTATGTGTTGATACTTCACCGCCCAACATTTCGTGCCATACAACATCGCCGTTCTTATTGTCGTCATATAAAATTTTCCCTTGAGTTTCAGTGGCATACAACGGTCACACAACACGCCAGATGCCCTCTTCCACTTCATCCATCCAGCTTATATTCTATGGTTGAGGTCACTAATTCTCCATTCTTTTGCAAGATAGATCCTAAGTAGCGAAAGCGGTCGCTCTTTGGTACTTCCTGATCTCTAATCCTCATCCCTAACTCATTTGGGCCTCCATTAGCACTGAACTTGCACTCTATATATTCTGTCTTTGATCGGCTTAGGCGAAGACCTTTAAATTCCAACACTTCTCTCCAAAGGTTAAGCTTCGTATTTACCCATTCTTGAGTTTCATCTATCAACACTATATTGTCTGAGAAAAGCGTACACCAAGGAATATCATCTTAAATATGTCCCGTTAATTCATCCATTACCAATGCAAAAAAGTAAGGATTTAAGGATGAGCCTTGAAGTAACCCTATAGTTATGGGGAAGCTTTCGGTTTGTCCTTCATGAGTTCTTATGACAATCTTTGCTCCATCATACACATCCTTTATAGCTTGGATATATGCTACTCGTACTCCTTTCTTTAAAATCCTCCAAAGAATGTCTTTTGGGATCCTATCAAACGCTTTTTCCAAATCTATAAAGACCATGTGTAAATCATTTTTTCTATCTCCATATCTTTCCATCAATCTTCGTAAGAAATAGATTGCCTCTATGGATGAGCGCCCTGGTACGAACCCGAATTGGTTGTCCGAAACTCGTGTCTCTTGCCTCAGTCTATGCTCAATGACTCCCAGAGCTTCATTGTATGACTCATTAGTTTAATACCCCTATAGTTCATGCAATTTTGTACGTCACCCTTATTCTTGTAGATAGGCACCAAAGTGCTCCTTCACCACTCATTTAGCATCTTCTTCGTTTTCAAAATCATATTGAAAAGGTCTGAGCCATGTTATACCTGTCTCTCCCAAGACTTTCCACACTTCGATCGGTATATCATCTGGGTCCACTGCTTTTCTATGCTTTATCTTTTTCAAAGCTACAACCACTTCTTCCTTTCTGATTCAGCGGTAAAATGAGTAGTTTCTACATTATTCTAAGTTACTCAACTCCCCCAAAGAAGTACTCCTTTCATGTCTTTCATTGAAAAGATTATGAAAATAACCTCTCCATCTGTCTTTGACCACATTCTCTGTAGCAAAAACCTTTCCATCCTCATCCTTGATGCACCTCACTTAGTTTAGGTCCCTTGTCTTCTTTTCCCTTACTCTAGCTAGTTTATAGATGTTCAACTCTCCTTTTTTGGTATCTAGTCGCTTATACATATCGTCATAAGCTGCTAGCTTAGCTCTCCCACAGCTTTCTTCGCCTCCTGCTTCGCTATTCTATACCTTTCACCATTTTCATCGGTCCTATTCTTGTATAAGGCTTTACAACATTCCTTCTTGGCCTTCACCCTTGTTTGTACCTCCTCATTCTACCACCAAGATTCCTTTTGATGTGGAGCAAAGCCCTTGGACTCTCCTAATACCTCTTTTGCTACTTTTCAGATACAACTAGCCATGGAATCCCACATTTGGCTAGCTTCCCCCTCTTTATCCCACACGCATTGGGTGATTACTTTCTCTTTGAAAATTGCTTGTTTTTCTCCTTTTATATTCCACCATCTAGTCCTTGGGCACTTCCAGATCTTGTTCTTTTCTCTCTTTTGATATGTACATCCATCACCAACAAGCGATGTTGATTAGGCAAGCTCTCCCGGTATAACTTTGCAATCCTTACAAGTTATACGATCCTCTTTCCTCATTAGAAGAAAATCTATTTATGTTTTTGACGACCCACTCTTGTTGGTGATCACATTTCTCTCCCCAAAACCATGGCCACCATGAAAACCTCCATAGTTGCCTGTTTTCTTGCCCACGTGTCCATTTAAATCTCCTCCTATAAATACCTTCTCCGTCTGAGCAATTCCTTGCACCAAGTCTCCCAAGATTTTTCCAAATTTTCTCCTTTAAACTCGTATCCAACCATACTTGAGGCGCATACACACTAATCACGTTGATGAGTTATTATCCTATTACAATCTTGTTTGCCATAATTCTATCTCCTACCCTCTTGACATCTACAACATCTTGTGTCCAGGTCTTGTCCACGATGATGCCAACACCGTTTCTCGTTCTATTTGTGCCCGAATACCAATGTTTAAAATCTGAGTTTTCTAGATCCTTTGCCTTAAGACCAACCCACTTAGTTTCTTGTCGGCACATATTACTTATCCTTCTCCTCATCATAACTTCCATAAATTTTCCTGTTAAGGTTCCTATATTCCACGTTCCTAACCGCATTCTACTCTCTTGAACTCTACCCTTCTGTCCTAGCTTCTTCACCCTCCCCATCTAATAGGATCAAAATACTTCTTTTGTGTGTCATGTGTAAAGTTGATATGAGCATAGCTTCTAAACAACTTTGAGTGTAGTCGTTCAAAAAGAAGTTTCTATGACCCCCTTACTCATTTAACACTGTATCCGGGTGCCGATGGAGATACAGTGACCCTTACTCACTTATCACTGTGCTCGGACCACACAGTGCGCCACTTACGAGTGACGCCTTAGCTTTAGCGCGATTTCGTTGTCGATTCATTTTCATAAAGATTCGACGTAACCTAGGAGTGTCGGCTGTCGACTACTTGACGCCCTCCCCCTCCTCCTTTATCCGGGCTTGGGACCAACAATGTAAGATAAACTCTTCATCCAGGACCAGGAGAAAAGTAGCCCACTTCTAAAAGAAAAAAAAAACCTCATAACTGCAGTAACTCCGTAATTCTTAGAGGAAGCTTCAAAGCAAAACAGAAAGCAAGGATTACAAAACATTGTGAATGGTCTTCGTAATCATCTTAGGTACTATTTCGAGCGAGACCTGCCCGTTCTATGAACAAAGGTGATACAGGGTTATAGGAAATTAAGCCCCAAACTGTTGAACCGTGAAAGGTCAACCTCAGCTTATTGAACCTAAGGAGCATGCTAACTGGTGCGAAAATTAACTTAACACACAAATTAAACCCTCTTGTTGTCAAATTGTAGTATAAATGCAAGTAGGGATCGTTCTAAATCGGGGATTAGGAGGGCTTGCTAAAACCTCTAAACTGACTTAAAAACATATAAACAAAGTTAAAAACACTAAACTAGACTCAAAGAACTTAAAACAAACTCAAAGGACTCAAAACAAGCTAAAAACACTCAAATCTGCCTAAAAACACAAACTGGGCAGATTTAGACTCTTAACACACTTTTGGGACACCTAAAAACACAAATCAAAACAGATTTTGACTAATAAAACACTTTAAAGTAAAGGGGGTTTTGGTTTTGACGAATTTGAAAACAAAACAAGTAAATTAAAGAACTAATGAAATCTGCACGAATTTGAGTAAATTGAATGGATGGAAGGTTAGCTAGGAGGTTCTTCTCCACATATGATACTTGCACATAAACCAATTTTCAGTTGTTCTTTCGATCAATCATGAAACTCAACACCCCAGGTTAATTAAGTCCGCTTAAATTAACCTTCAAGTTCTCCTTAAGTTATTGAATTGGATGGGAAAGCGCATACAACAATTCAAGCATTCTTCAAAAGTTCTTTACGTAAACAGCACAATAAAGATACAATCAAAGATCATTAAGTATTATGAAAACTATAAGTATTGACGAGGCATTCGTTACTATGATGAGCATGAAACTCCTGCCAAGAATTTATTTAACGCGATCGTTTATAAGCGACCTCCACTACTTGTGAATATAAGTTTGTAACTATTAGGTGAAACTCCTTTATACTCTAGCATCATATTCATGCATGCAAACCAAGTGTGCACTCTTAATAAACATACACGAATAAGTTATCAATCAAGCAGTTAAACAAATTGAATTCACAACTTATGAAATCACAACTGAAGGTAATCAAATCATATTGCAAGCATGAACATGGTTTCGAATTCCCCCTAGCTAAGGGGGGTTTAGTTCCTCATACTCACAAAGCAAAGATAAACAAATTTAGACATTGAAAACAAAAGAATGAAAACACTTAAAAACGCTCCAACAATCCAACTTGAATGGCAAGCACGTCCAAGGGTCCTCCTTCTCTTTGTTGCGGCACAAGGTGTGGTTTGATGGATGAGTGGTAAATTATGGTGGTGGATGGGTATAGGTGAGTTATGATGAAGGGTGGATGGGTGGATTGTGTTCTCCCGGCCAAGGAATGAAAGTGTAAGTGTATAGAGTTGTGAGATGTGAATGTAGTGTCTTTTTATGGATCTTTTCTCCTCCCCCCTTGTTATGGTGAAGGGTGGATGTATTTATAGGCTAGGGAGAGGACCACCATCTAATTAAGGTGGTAGTGGTGTATGTTGTGGTAATGAGTGGATGTAATGGGTATAGTGGGTGAGTGTTTGGTAATGAGTGGATGTAATGGGTGTAGTGGATGGATGTTTGGAATTGTAGGTCAACACACTTGCACACACATGTTGATTTCTAGCCTTCAAATCTTCAAAAACGTCCATCCTCCTGTCTCCATGCTTGCACTATCCAATCTTGGCCCAAAAATGCTCCAAAATGCTCCAAATAGCACTTTGTTGCTAACTTTGTTATTTGAACTTACAAACACACGAAAATAGCTTAAAATACATAATTAACTAAGAAATAACAACATAAATGCACAAGAACAAGCTAACTAAGTCGCATAAATATGCTCTTATCACTAACCGTTGTATGACCGGGCAACTCTGAAACAAACTCCACTAGATTTGTTTTCATATGAGATTTCCTTTGTATGACTGGGCAACTCTAAAACATATTCCACTGGGTTTTGTTTTCATATGAGATCTCCTTTGTATGACTGGGCAACTATAAAACATACTTCACTGGGTTTTGTTGACATATGAGATTTTGACTCAAGTAGCTGTTGAGGGATTCATACCCTAATCCAACTTTTCTTTGCACCCCCAGGTTGCTACAGGGCAAGTCGCTAGTACCGGAATGATTGCTCTTAGCTATGTACAAAAGGTGTCTGATAAGGTGAGAAAAGTTGATCCATTTTAACTTTTTATATTGTTGGATATTTTGATTGAGTTTTCCATTTTTATGGTTTCTCCGAAGTCTTTCTTACAGTCTTTCTTTCTTGTAGGTTTCTCTTGCATCAGATTTCATGTACAACTACATGTCAAGAGATGTCACGGCTAGTTTTGGTTATGATTACATTCTTCGACAGGTAGCTTACGTATTTTAATGTCCAAATATTCGTGAATCATTATAATGGTGTAGTGGGAGATGTATAAATCAATGATTCCTATTTCATTGCAATAAACAGACACTCTTTTTCTTCTTACGTTGTGATCTTACTAGTAGGTGAACATTTTAGGGTTTAAGTTACACAACCAGTGCTATCGGATTGCTGCTGGAGTATGTTACTACCTAGTAGGTGAACAGTTTCATGAAACATGATTTCTTAGACAGTGTGGCCTGTTTAATTCTGTGCGGACCTTGATGATCCAGATTCAGGTTCAGTCTGGCCTCATAAGATTGTTATGTATATATGCAGTGTATCCATGCAATACACAAAAAACGCTGCCTTGTCTATTGAAAACCATATGCACTTCCTATATATGGATTTTTTTCCTTGGTGTTCTATTGCACTGATATGAAACCCAGTTCATGTCTCATCATGAATTTTATTTGTGCCCTTTGCCGTGATGGTGTCAAGGAGGATTGTGTGCTTACCTAATTTGTGTTGTTAAATCAAATATGAATTTTTAAGCATTGACTGTTCTTGGCTAACTTTTATCATTGTTGCAGTGCCGTCTTAGAGGAAAGATTGATTCCAATGGCACCGTAGCTGCATTTTTGGAAGAGCGACTAAATATGGGTCTTAATTTTGTTCTTTCTGCAGAGGTGAGGATTTAGCAATGTTGTGTGTGCCCTTCTTCCTCTTCTCAATTAGATGAACTTTTTTTTGCCACTTCTTTGTCAAGTACTAAAATATACGCCTTGCAGATTGATCACAGAAAGAAAGACTACAAATTCGGGTTTGGATTGACTGTCGGGGAGTAAAGTGCAGGACCAATGCTGTTTCGTCATTCTTGCGGGCAAGATATCTCTTTATTTTTCCATTCGAGTTGAACTAGAGATCCCTGTATACTTAATCCCGGGTAACATTATCACAGGGTGGGATCAGTTGAGCCCGTTTTAGTAGCCGGTGTCTGTTTGGAGTTCCCTTTTTTTCAGTTAAGAGTTGTAGAATAAGATTTCTAAATAATTCAAATTGTATTTCTAGTCACAACATTAACCTTTGTTCGAAACAGGAAACTTTATTTCTTGAATGAATCTGATGATCCTCTGCTACAATTGCTTCAGTTTCCCCCTCCTGTTTTCAAAATCGTTGATTAATTTGTATGACCAACGGGGAACTTTTTAATTAATCCACATAATCTTGTGGTTGCAACTTCTTTTTTACTCGCACATGATTTTGCAAAGTTATCCATGTTAGCACACGACCACCTTATATTTATCGTACCAAGCCATGTTGGGACATTAACATCGTACATAATTCACATTCACGCCTGCTAAAGGGGGTGCAAGCCGTATATCAGGGCTTGAAAGTGAATTGTGGTTTGGATGGTTGCAGAAGTTTATTGAACTACGTGAAGTTAAGGTTATGGAAAATTGGGCTACTTGGGAGCACCAAAAGTTCAAGTCCATAGTCTGAGAGAACAGACCAAGTAGCCCCTTCTCTTGCAAACCAAATAGGACACTTACAAAACAGCCAAAACCAAAAACTGAGCTGCCTAGAGAATCATGTTCAAACATAGAGCTGTGCGCTTCATTGAGGAGAGAAGGCATCTTTCCCTTCCAAGCTTATACAGTAAAACAAGGAGCGTTGCCAAAAGAGAAGTCCGTGGAAATCGACTATGGATTTTTCCAATTGCTATACACATTAACCACAAGAAATTTATTTTGTTATGGATTTTTGCATTTATCATCTTACGAGAATGGAGCATGGTATAGATCAACCGGAAGAGGTATGCATAGAAGTATTTGCCCCAAGGAGGAATCCTATGGGAAATATCCATCACCCTTTGTGCTTATAATTTTTCATGCAAGAAAAACAAGCAACATCTGAGTTCCTAAAAACATTTAGATGAATTTGATGAAGTACTTTGGAAATGGTTGTTTATAAAATAAAAGCCATTAATTTGGTTGTAGTTTGATCCATATCCTAATTAATAATTGTGTAAAGATGGCCATATTGTACGTTACATAATTTGGGATTAGACTAAGCAATTGGCTCTTAAGATAGAAAGTTAAATGGGTCATCTACATAAAATGCACAAATTATAAGATCGATTTCAAGCTAGCATTGTGACATTTGAAGACAACTCTTTCTCAAAACTCACGGAAGTTTTACATTTAAGCACATCCTTTTGTTAGACCATTTATATGTTTGTAGAGTCTTTAGAAATACGCTCCCAACTTAATATCAAGCTTATAGTTTACTGCGAAGCTGGAACGGCGCAAAAGAAAATGCCTTACAATGTGCAATTTGTTCTGCTTCAAGTTCACAAACAAAGCAATGGAGCTGCTGGGGATGTATAATGGTACACAAGCAAGGAATACCATCTTCTCAGCACCCTATGAAGCCTTCGGGTTGGGATCATGCAACGTGACTACACGTACGGTCATCTCATTCACCTTAAGCCATCCGCCAACTCTCTGCGAGGTATCTTGGCTTTCATGGTTTTGCAAGAACAAGGCAAGTTAATCACAAGTGGGACCATGTACTGCAAATTAAAGAATTGCATGCATGAGAATTGAAATGAAAGGGTTATGTTGCGGTGCCTTTTCACATACTAAAACTGAAATCCCACAAAGGTGCATGCGACTGTGCTAGATATCAGACACATGATGTTTACCAGAAAACTAAGGCAACTGATCAAATATATGCAATCATGATCTCATTCTGAAAGGGCATAAGTTGACAAAATGACTCTCCAAAGACTTTGAAGTTAGAATAACTAAATATAAGAAGAGAGCTCCTTCTGCTAGACCAAAGGTGCATATAAAATTATAAATCAATGTTAATGGGAACTGGTCATTTATAGCACACGGTGTGGCACCCCAGAGATTAAACAAGATTACGTAACTTCGTAGGTAAAATCCTATGATAGGAAGGTGACTTATCTTCAGCAAAGGCAGTCTAAGAATTGGCTGAAGTATCTATAGGTCAATCTGTAAGAATTCTTCAATTCCTTGAGCTTCAAGGAGGGACCTCAACTAGACTGGGCAACAAGTAGCAGTTGATAAATAAGGTTGAAATAGTAGGCTTGTGATATTTCAGTTATAACCCCTAGATTAATATATTGAACCCGACACCTCATCCTTGAAAAATTTTAAAGAATATAAATGGATTCCAAATATGTCCTTGAAGCATGTATGTTAATAGCGAGTCCAGAAGAAAAGTTCAATGACCAACATACAGATCTTAAGGTGCAGGGCTTTAAAGTGAGTCTGTGTCTGCGTCTCTGTTGCAGTAGTGTAGATTAGTCCTCATACTGTTAGGAGTAGACCATGAGTCCTAGTACTATATCAGTGATTGATACAGCTAGAATACATGCTTGTAGCTAGATATGTTATTCCAAAAAAACAAAAAAACAAAAAGCTAGATAATGTTTGGGAATCTTACTGGAAGATCAATGGAAGGCCTTACTTTAAACCTGACCTTTCAGTATGCTGTTGAGTCGAACTGGTATGAAACAAATATAAGCGATGCATTTAGAAGGTTAATGAAAAGGATGCATAAAACTTCAAATGATAAAAGAAAGTCATAACTGAGGGACCACAGGTTGATGTTTCCTGTTCTGCAAAACTTGATATTTGGATTCTTTGTCATAAAGGTCTACTTTAAACTAATCTAAATTGCAGGGACATGGATTCAAACTCGGGTGCATAGAGGGTTGCATATCTGCTCTGACCAATGTGGCTACACCCATTATTGTGGAAACATATATGATATTAAGAATTCAACTTAGCTCGTCTTTAGTTTTAACTTTTTATCATTCTTGTATTACCTCAGAAAGTACAAAGTGTTAAGTACCAGAAGGAGAACAGAGAGATCGTAGAGGAGGAAGAAGATAACAGGAGAGGTTTAGTTAGAGAAAGAGAGAGAGAGAGAGAGAAATCACAATTGTATTTTCTTGATTAATTGAATGGTTACAAGGGGCAGTTGCTATATAGATGAGTCCTAAGCTAACTGCCTTAACCAACTCAATCCCTTACCAACAATCCTAACTAATTATTCTAACATTCACACTCCTCATTGCCTTATGTATTTGGTTAATCACATGTGTCATGATCCACACCCTCCATATCCTATATACTCTAACATCCCCCCGCAAGCTCATGGTGGTCCAAGCATGAGATTGTTGCAATGAGTCTTGAACAATGGCGAACTCAGACCTTTGGTAAGAATATCAGCAAACTGCTCGGAAGAAGAGACAAACTGAACCAAGAGCTTCTTACTTGCAACCCTTTCTCTCACAAAGTGAACATCAACTTCAATATGTTTGGTGCGCTGATGTTGAACTGGATTAAAGGATAGTGCGATTGCCGAAAGATTGTCACAAAAAAGAACTGGTGGGTGGGGAATATGAACGTGTAGAACTTGAAACAATTGTTGCAGCCAATCCAATTCAGCAGCAGTGGATGAAAGGGCTCGATATTCAGCTTCAGTGAATGATCTTGATACGGTTTGTTGTTTCTTTGAAGCCCAAGAGATAGGATTGTTACCAAGAAACACAACCAAACCTGTTGTAGACCGCCTATCATTAGGGTCTCTAGCCCAATCAGCATCACTAAACGATCTAAGTATTAAACTGCCTTTTCTATATCGAATTCCATGTGTCATAGTCCCTTTGAGATACCTCAATATTCTCTTCACAGCCAAATAATGAGAAGCCATGGGAGACTGCATAAATTGACAAACTTGGTGAATTGAAAAGGCTATGTCAGGTCGTGTAAAAACCAAGTATTGTAAGGCACCAACAATACTTCTATAGAGGGTTGGATTATTAAAAGGTTCCCCATCATCCTTCAATAATCTGTTATAAGGTAAACAGGGAGTTGCACATGGTTTAGAATCAAACATTTCAATTTTCTTCAACAAATCTTTCACATACTTCTCTTGAGATAAGAATAACCCTTCATCTGTTCTTGTAATTTGTATCCCAAGAAAATAATGGAGAGATCCCAGATCTTTGAGATCAAATTCCTTTGTTAAATCTGTAATAACCTGTGCAATCATCTTAGTGTCATTTCCAGTGATGATGATGTCATCTACGTAGAGCAACAATATCACAAGTGAAGAACCAGAACACTTGACAAAGAGTGATGAATCAGCATATGTATTGTGTAACCCCAACGTAGGCAGAAAACTTGTGAACCTGTCATTCCAAGCCCTTGGGGCTTGCTTGAGTCCATAGAGGGACTTGTGTAATCTACAAACTTTAAGAGGGTGATGATGATCTTCAAAGCCAAGAGGTTGGGACATATAAACTTCTTCTTGAAGAATGCCATGAAGAAAGGCATTTTTGACATCTAATTGATATAGGGGCCAATCATGATGAGTTGCCAAAGCTAATACTAACCTGACAGTTGTTGGTTTAACAACCGGACTGAAGGTTTCTCCATAATCAAGTCCATGCTCCTGATTAAATCCTTTTGCAACAAGTCTCGCTTTGTACCTCGCAATTGTCCCATCAGAATTCCTCTTGATTTTAAATACCCACTTACAGCCAACAAGGTTTTTGTTATGAGGAAGATCTACTATACTCCAGGTTCCTTGAGAATGTAAGGCTTCAATCTCTTTAGTCATAGCCTTATTCCACACTGGTTCTTTAAAAGCTGACTTATATGTTGCAGGCTCGATTGTAGTAAGATCAACCCCTCCAGAATCACAAACTGATGCATATAAGGCTTTATGCTTCACAATGCCACTTTTGGATCGAGTCTGCATCGGATGGAGATTCATAGGTGGAATCTCAAGAACAACTTGAAGTGTCTCAGGACAGAAGTCAAGTGCCACAAGAGATGGTGTAAAGGAAGATGGAGCAGCAATAATGGACTGTGGTGTGTTTGATGTATTAGTCTTATATGGGTTAGAAGAGTGGGACAAATCTGTGGACTCAATAGATCTTTGAATTGACCCTGTATGCAGGAGAGGTGATTGACAATGAGATGGAGGTGACTGTGCATGTCCTTAAGGTGATAAAGATGGAGTATCTCTAAATGAAGATGAAGTTTGCACTCTAGAAGTTGAAACTGAAACAAGAACATTTTGAAGGTTTGGAGTTGGTTATGG